TTCATAACAAAAAGTGTTGAAGCATAATGATGTTTCTTATTGAAAATCCATTTTACCAAATTTTTTTATATTATTGGAAATAAGAAAAAAAATAACTTAAATATTTATTTTATTGCTAATTTCTAGTTAATTTCTTTAAAAGATTTATTTAAATAATAACCAAGATAATATTGGTTGAATTTGCTTGAGATAATTATTATGTTTTCCTTCAAAAATATACAACATATTTTTCAAATTACTGAATATTTTAATCTTAATTCTTTAGATTTATTTATGAAGAATAAAAATATATATTAAATAGAAGACATATGATACTTTTATAAAATTTAGCTAATAACGAATTTCTTTGTAAATAAAAAATTTAAGGTTAAGGTATTTTTCCTGATACTTCCTTTTTATGTACTAAGTTTAATAAAATGTTACAAATTGAAGATTCTTTACATGTATTTTATAATTATAGTTTAACATTTTTTGTAATTTAATGAATGAATGTAGAATTTAATTATAAATCTATTTTTTTTTTGAGTTACATTGAAAGAAACTAATTTAAATATGGATTTCATCAAATATTATATATGTATTAAAATATACTTAATATTTTGGTTATGCCAGAGATTTTAATTTTCTCAATCAAATTAGATGGAGTGCTTGTAGATTCAAGTTCTTAAAAAAGTTTACAATTCTAATTGTTGGAGTATGTCAAAAAGGCTTGATTGCTTGGAAGTTGGCCTTAATTTTAATATATCACTTGTTCATATAATTTTATATAATATGCTAATCTTAAAAAAGATTATTAATAAATGGATAAGAAATTTATGAATAAATGTTATTGATCTGAATCAATTGTTGACAATTTTTCTTAATGATGCCAAAAATTACAAAAATGGAATAGCAAAATTTCACATTTAACTTTACCTTAATCTCTAAAATTCCAATATTGAAAAAAGAAGTCTCATTAACTCTGATTTAACTCAAAATGCAAGAAGAACATATAATAACCCAGGAACATTATATTTTAGCCTTTAAATTTAAGGTGATATCCAATTAATTGTGATAAGGATTTTCTTTTTATGCTCAAAATCTTGTTTACAAACTTTTTAAACTTGTTCTAGCGATCAAAGTTGTTTAAGTTATTATTATGGTAGTCTCAAACACATGGATCGTACATTTTTGAAAATTAAAATTAGTTCTGCTCAAATAAAATTGGATGCAGATCGAATGTGAAAGAGATTATTTTAATTAAGATTAGATAACATTTGTTCCAAATAAATAATAAAATCATTTACTTGATATTTTCAATTTATATGATATATTAAATATTTTCAAGAACTCATCAATTAACTATATAGGAAATTTGCTTTTTATTTTATACCTAGCATATTCATAATCAAGAAGTTTATTAGTTTAGAAATTATTTTTATAATAAAGGTTTTTAGATTAATATTAGGTGAATCATAAAAACTGTAAGCTGTTCAAGAATTAGCTGCTCCATTTATAATTTAATTAGAATATAGGTGATTCTTAAAATCTATTCTTATTGTTTATATAGTTATTATAGTAAAACTCAATTTGATGAAACAATTCAACAATTTTCTACCAAGTAGTTTAATTTAAATAATTTCAGACTCTTGTTGCTTCTCAAAAGGATATTATAATTTAAATATCGCTACTTTAGATATAAATTAATCTTATGATGAAGTAGAAACAGACACTATTGCCGATTCAAAAGATTAACTTTGCGTAATTTCTGATTACTTTATTGTTGGACGCTATCTATGTAACTATTTGGTTGTATTTTAAGTTTCTCCAATTTTGTCAAAATTTTTATGATGGGGTCAGATGTGTTAATTGGGAATCTGGACACACAAAATCTAATTGCTTATAGAATTAGTTTTGATAATTTTATTCTAATAAACAATCTTACAATTATGGATAAATTAATTAACCAGGATGACAATTCTTCAAGATTAAATAACAATTTAATTAATGAGATTTATTTATCATTTAATTTCCTATCAAGTCAAACTATTGTTTGTAATAAGGTTTTTGAAACTTGTATAGATTTTTTGAGAACAAATTGTCTAACACGAGTTTCTGATTTTCATAAATCCTAATAAAATAATCAATGTTATTGTTAATTAGATAATTATGATGATGGTATTAATTTAGTATGCCATCTATTATGTGAATATGTGGAAATTTTTAATTGAAGATTGGAGGATTTTGATGATAGTAATAAAATTCTTAATGATAGATGTCATTTCTGTAACTTTAGTTGTGATAATTTTTGGAAAGAATGAGATTTTTGTTATTCTTAAAAAGGCTTTGAGGTTGTTTATAATTAATTAATGTACTGCCATTTTTGGTAGTGATCTTTTAGTTGTCAAGAATAATAATAATATTATTACGTATAATGGATGCTATACTTTTAATTTTACTTCACAAGTTATAGTGTTGAGTGCTTATTTAACGAATATATTAAATTTAAAAAAAGAAACAAATTTAAAGGAAAATTTAATTGGATAGTTTAATGTTAATTTAGACTTTTAAAATAATGCTAAACCATAACAAAAATAATGTTAATACTATACTTTTTTTTGGACAATATTAATTAAAGTATTAGTTTTATTGTAAATTATTTTTAGAGTAACTATAAAAAATTCTAAATAAATTAAGAGTTCATAACACTTATGAAATCATAAAATGATAATTAGTTTAAAATAGGAAGTGGCTTGAATAAGTACTATTTTAATTATCAATTTGTTTTTATTATACTAAATTTTGTGTAAAACAGAAAGTTTAATTTAAAATTTTAGCAAAACTTCAAATATAATCATAATTTAATCTTTGAGATTAAATCTATTTTTTTCTGAGCTATTTGCATTTTATCAGAATACAATTTATGAATAAGTAAAAAATTCGATTAATTAAAATATCAAGATATATTAATTCTAAAATTAATAATTAAATGTTAATTACTTTAAATCAAATCAATTATTAATCTCCTGATTAGATTCAGTGCTAAAAGTATATTCTATAATAGTATACATAGAGTTTGGTATCTTATAAATTATAATATTAATTTATACTCTTTAGT